TCTGGACGGGTGCGAGGGGGCTGGTAACCCGTCCACCTTCAATTTAATTACCAGCAAACTACGTGGAAAGAAATCTACACACCCAAACACGCACGCGCGCGTCTCACACACACACACACGCTCACACCTGGACCAAAGGTGACGGAAACACAATGGGGCGGCGTATCCGTCGTCTCTCGTTACGTTATCGATCGGCAAACATTTACTTGTACCGAGACCGAACCGCGCCCCCCCTGGAATTGAGCGTCACGGAGAGGCGAGGATTGGTGGCTCCCTCAGAGACGGCGGCGTCGTCGTAAAACAAAACAAAAATCCGTGCTTCGTTTTCGTTCAACTGCAGCTCGGAGAATTTCAAATGTCGGTTTGAATTCACGCGGCGGCAAAACACTGAAAACTAAAAACACAAAAATTGTCTTTTTAAATTTTATTTTACCAGCTAAGGCCCACTGAGCTGTAGAACTCTTTTTCAGAAGTGATCTGGGCACAAACGATAGCCCAACGGAAGTGGCTTATCACGTGGAAATTCATAGCAGCCAAATACTCTAAAACGCACGTTTCTAATTGTGGAGGGAAAAAGCGGAGAAAAATCCACGCGGCCACGTGGGAGAGAGGCGTCAGGGTCGGAATTAAACCCACGACCTCCTGCATACCAGGCGAGGTAGTTAACATCTGGCCACCGCGGCGCTCCCTATGACTCTCATGCGGCAGAGCGAACCGGCGAAAGTCGCTGCCCTCTGCCGTGCGCGTGGACTAGAGGACGCTCACAGCAGGAGCAGGAGGAGGGATCTGAGAGGCGGTAGCTCATCTTCTCGGTTCTTTCGGTAAAGTCACGTAGAAGGGAAATAACAAAATAATAATAAAACATAATAAAATAATTCTCACGACGTTTCGGCCACAACGCAAGCAGCCGTCCTCAGGTGAAGACGCTGTCTTTCCGACAGACCTGTTCTTCAACTGAGGACGGCTGCTTGCGTTGTGGCCGAAACGTCGTGAGAATTATTTAATTATGTTTTATTATTATTATTTTATTATTTCCCTTCTACGTGACTTTACCGAAAGAACCAAGAAGATGAATCCCTGCAGTCACGAAAGCTTTAAATCGAAATTTAGGCGGTAGCTCATTCCCTTGGGCCGTAATCACCGGAGCCTGGCACAGGCGATCGCCGAGTCAACACCCGTGGCGTGACATCGGTGGCGGCGGAGCATGAATGTCACCGCCGCCCACCCCGCCCCCCACCGCGTTATCGCAACTCGAGTTGGGGCCCCCCCCATAAAAGTCACGGTCACCCAGCGAGCGAGCGTCACACACCTCTCCGCTCGCGGGAAGCACGGTCGGCTACGGGAGGTGCGAAAGAAGTTCAACGCACGTACGTACAGAGTACGGAGTACGGCAAACGTGACGGAACTCGGTTCAACGCGTTTGTCCGCAACACCTCTCCCCTGTCCTTGCGCGCGACGGAGGCAGCGGCAGCGATGATGATGATGATGCTGTTGTCGTTCAGGAGCTTGAGACCAATCTCGAGTTCTGCTGCTGCTGCTGCTCACCACAACGAGAGGGCTTTTTCAGCAGAGAGAGAGAGTTCGTGTCGTCTTCTTGGTTCTTTCGGTAAAGTCACGTAGAAGGGAAATAATAAAATAATAAAAATAAAACATAATAAAATAATATCATATAATTTTATTATTTCCCTTCTACGTGACTTTACCGAAAGAACCAAGAAGATGAATCCCTGCAGTCACGAAAGCTTTAAATCGAAATTTAGTTCGTGTCGCGTCGCTGTTCCTCTGTTGAAGGAGTGGAGGCCACAGTGGGTTTTCGACGCGGTCCGTAGCTTGCGTGGGCACAATCTCACTAATGTGGCTTGTGTCTTTTACGTATCTAGCGGGGTCTCCATCTTTTTGGGTCTCGAGGATTCTGCAAGTACCTCTTTGGGTCTTAATGGGTTTGTTTCGTGGTCCATAGTTTCATCAGTCACACTTCTGTGGCTTGCTGGGAATGTCTCTGTGTGTCTCTGTGGGTCTCTGTGTGTCTCTGTGGGTCTCTGTGTTTCTCTGTGGGTCTCTGTGTGTCTCTGTGGGTCTCTGTGTGTCTCTGTGTGTCTCTGTGTGTCTCTGTGGGTCTCTGTGTGTCTCTGTGGGTCTCTACGTGTCTCTGTGGGTCTCTGTGGGTCTCTGTGTGTCTCTGTGGGTCTCTGTGGGTCTTTGTGTGTCTCTGTGTGTCTCTGTGTGTCTCTGTGGGTCTCTGTGTGTCTCTGTGGGTCTCTACGTGTCTCTGTGGGTCTCTGTGGGTCTCTGTGTGTCTCTGTGGGTCTCTGTGTGTCTCTGTGGGTCTCTGTGTGTCTCTGTGGGTCTCTGTGTGTCTCTGTGTGTCTCTACGTGTCTGTGGGCCTCTGTGTGTCTCTGTGGGTCTCTGTGGGTCTCTGTGTGTCTCTGTGGGTCTCTGTGTGTCTCTGTGTGTCTCTGTGGGTCTCTGTGTTTCTCTGTGGGTCTCTGTGTTTCTCTGTGGGTCTCTGTGTGTCTCTGTGGGTCTCTGTGTGTCTCTGTGTGTCTCTGTGTGTCTCTGTGGGTCTCTGTGTGTCTCTGTGGGTCTCTACGTGTCTCTGTGGGTCTCTGTGGGTCTTTGTGTGTCTCTGTGGGTCTCTGTGGGTCTTTGTGTGTCTCTGTGTGTCTCTGTGTGTCTCTGTGGGTCTCTGTGTGTCTCTGTGGGTCTCTGTGGGTCTCTGTGTGTCTCTGTGTGTCTCTGTGGGTCTCTGTGTGTCTCTGTGGGTCTCTGTGTGTCTCTGTGGGTCTCTGTGTGTCTCTGTGTGTCTCTACGTGTCTGTGGGCCTCTGTGTGTCTCTGTGGGTCTCTGTGGGTCTCTGTGTGTCTCTGTGGGTCTCTGTGTGTCTCTGTGGGTCCCTGTGTGTCTCTGTGGGTCTCTGTGTGTCTCTGTGGGTCTCTGTGGGTCCCTGTGTGTCTCTGTGGGTCTTTGTGGGTCTCTGTGGGTCTCTGTGTGTCTCTGTGGGTCCCTGTGTGTCTCTGTGGGTCTTTGTGGGTCTCTGTGGGTCTCTGTGGGTCTCTGTGTGTCTCTGTGGGTCTCTGTGTGTCTCTGTGGGTCTCTGTGTGTCTCTGTGGGTCTCTGTGTGTCTCTGTGGGTCCCTGTGGGTCTCTGTGGGTCTCTGTGTGTCTCTGTGGGTCCCTGTGTGTCTCTGTGGGTCTCTGGGTGTCTCTGTGGGTCTCTGTGTGTCTCTGTGTGTCTCTACGTGTCTGTGGGCCTCTGTGTGTCTCTGTGGGTCTCTGTAGGTCTCTGTGTGTCTCTGTGGGTCTCTGTGTGTCTCTGTGGGTCTCTGTGTGTCTCTGTGGGTCTCTGTGTGTCTCTGTGGGTCCCTGTGTGTCTCTGTGGGTCTCTGTGTGTCTCTGTGGGTCTCTGTGGGTCTCTGTGTGTCTCTGTGGGTCTCTGTGTGTCTCTGTGGGTCTCTGTGTGTATCTGTGGGTCCCTGTGTGTCTCTGTGGGTCCCTGTGTGTCTCTGTGGGTCTCTGTGTGTCTCTGTGGGTCTCTGTAGGTCTCTGTGGGTCTCTGTAGGTCTCTGTGGGTCTCTGTGGGTCTCTGTGTGTCTCTGTGGGTCTCTGTAGGTCTCTGTGTGTCTCTGTGGGTCCCTGTGTGTCTCTGTGGGTCCCTGTGTGTCTCTGTGGGTCTCTGCGTGTCTCTGTGGGTCTCTGTAGGTCTCTGTGGGTCTCTGTAGGTCTCTGTGGGTCTCTGTGGTTCGACTGTAAGATCCATAGTCAAGGCTGCATGGCCACAATCGTACGACTGTGGATTGTGTCGTTAATATTCCGTTCACGACGGAGATGTGCGCAATCGGTCCATTATTAACACCGTGTGGCTTTGATGAAAGGGGGGAAATATATAAATATTTATAATACTTGACGTATCGGGCGACAGGCCTTCTTCATAGCAAACCAAATAATTTCGCAAATATTTATTAGTAAGATCGTGTAGAAAGTGGTTTGTTGACCCACCAGCGGCCAGTCCAGGTTATGTTTCTGTGCCCGCCTCACTTAATCGGTGCTCACGATCGGCAATTTCCACAACAACTTGCATGGCTACACTGGTTGCTACGGTGGCCAGGAGATGTTAACAACCTCGCCTGGTATACAGGGGTTTGTGGCTTCGATCCTGACCCTGACGTCTGTATATTTGGAGTTTGCTGCGTCTCTCACCCTCGTGGTCGCGTGGATTTTTCTCCGGGTCCCACGGTTATTCCCTCCACATTTATAATGGACGTCACGCGTGTAGAGCATTTGGTTGCCGTTAATGTCCACGTGAGAAGCCCCTCCTCGTCGAGCTATCATTTGTGTGGCCAGGTCGCTTCTGAAAAAAGGCCGTAAAGCACAGTGGGCCCTTACCTGCTAAAATGAAACGTTTACATTTCGATTTAAAGCTTTCTTGACTGCAGGGATTTATCTTCTTGGTTCTTTCGGTAAAGTGACGTAGAAGGGAAATAATAAAATTATAAAAATAAAACATAATAAAATAATTCTCACGACGTTTCGGCCACAACGCAAGCAGCCGTCCTCAGGTGAAGACCAGGTCTGTCGTTCAGACGCTGTCTCCCCGACAGACCTGGTCTTCACCTGAGGACGGCTGCTTGCATTGTGGCCGAAACGTCGTGAGAATTGTATTTTATTATGTTTTATTTTTATTATTTTATTATTTCCCTTCTACGTGACTTTACCGAAAGAACCAAGAAGATGAAACGTTTAGTTTAGGGTGACCTTTATCTTTGCGGGTGCGCGACGCTAGCGGCAAGGTCGATCTTCTGCTGGCGCACTGGCGGGGTGGATTGTAGCGACGCTGCATCGCTTGCAGCGCCGCGTGAGAGATGATGACGACGGCTTGGCGAGGTCTCCATCCAGCAGTGGAGAGATCGTGGCTTACGGACGACGATGACGACCTGTGTGTCATGTGCCCCCCCCCACCTGCCCCTGCCCCCGCCCCCCCCTCCGCACCATTTTTGTCGCAGGATCTTCATCTGCTGCCCTCGTTCCACTCGCGACCGCAAGTGCTGCCCCACTTTGGGGGAGCAGCCGATTGCTGATTGGCTGCAATCACACTCAAGGTAACCCCCCCCCCCCCAACTTCCCACACACACTCCTCGGACTAGCTGTGCCTCCACAACTGATTAGAGTAATTAAATCTGTAATTGACGAGGAAACCAATCGCAACAGACTAGCAGTCTGTCCCTCCCTCCAAGCAGCCAGGCAGCCAGCAAAACTTTTTTACAACGTAGTATGAAACATGAATGCATGTCCTCAGTTGTGTCTTTGTCCCATTGGTGCCTGTTGGGATGGTCATGGTTTCTGAACTCCGAAAGCCGGGCAGTTCTAAACAATAAAAATTGGCCACACGCGCAGTTCCTTTGAGCTGGTGGATCTCGACAAGTCCTGAGAGCTTTTGTATGATCCATAATTATGCTCCTTCAGCCGATGTTTACGGTTCATCGTGAACACACAAACTCAAAACGTCCGTCGGGAAGTTTTTTGTTGAAAATGACATTGGTCATCATCGACGGACATTTTTAAAATGTAGTTCTCATCTCGTCCCATGGTGCATAGAAGTGTCGTCCACTCTCTACTCGGCTCTCCATTCACGTGCTATGCAGAAGGCCCACTGCCCGAAACGTCCATTATATAAGTTTCCATTTAAGACCACAACAACAACAAACAACAACCGCCCGGGAAGACCACACAGGGATATTGACAAAGGTGTTGAGTTTTTTTCTCTCCGTTATTTGTGTTTGTAAGTCATGTCCAAGGTAATGTCATAAGACTTGTCGTGAGTAAAATCGTAAGTGATGTCGTAATATAAGTGATGTCATAAGTGATGTCGTAATATAAGTGATGTCATAAGTGATGTCGTAAGTAATATAAGTGATGTCATAAGTAATGTCGTAAGTAATATAAGTGATGTCATAAGTAACGAGATGAGGACGTTCACATTTGGAATGATCACCGACCAGGTAGAAATCTGCGGAAGCTCGTCCACCTCCCTCTCACTCGACCCTTGACCCCCCCCCCCACGCACCCCCTTACTCCCGCTTGTAACCCACAGGGACAGTGAGCCACGGAGCCTCTCCCTACCCCCGCCCCCCATCACCACAAAAAACTGGGGGGCTCAGCGACCACTCGAGTGAGTGAAGGAGCTAACGAGCGAATGAGTGAAAGAGACACTTAACGATTGGTCGATTGAATTGTCATGCGAGTGACTGATGGAGTGAATGAACGAGTGATTAAGGGAACGAACAACCGAGTGAATGAGTAACTGACCGTATGCGCGAACGCGTGAGCGACTGCGTCGGTGAGCGAATGAACGGGCTGGATGGAGAAGCAACGATCAAACGAGGACACGGCCGAATGAGTTCACGAGCAAGCGAACCATTGGCTGAACTATTGAACAATTGATTTGACGTTCGAGCGAGCAATTGATCGGGGGAACCAGCGATGAAGTGCTTCTTCAGCTAATGATCAAATGAGTGATCGATTGTGTGATTAAAGCGAGCGATTGCGCAAGCCGGCGACTGGGCAACCAAACAATCAACTGCCCCGACTGACCGACTGACCGACTGAGCGACTGATCAGCCGACTCACCCACCGATGGACTTGACTAACCTATCAATCAAGCGACAGACAAACGACTAACAAAGCAAATCGATTGAAGAACCAACTCACCGATTAACCAACCGACCGACTAATCAACCAACTGACCAACCACGCAAACGACCGACCGACGGAGCACCCAACCGCTGAACCCGATCAACCGACCAATCCCATCAGCCCATCGTGAGCGATGGGAGGCGGTGGCGGCCGCGCTGCCGCGGCGATGCCCGTGGAGCCGCTGACGCTCAAGTCGCGCTGGTACATCTACGCCATCCACGGCTACTTCTGCGAGGTGATGTTCACCGCCGCGTGGGAGTTCGTCGTCAACAAGAACTGGAAGTTCCCCGGCGTGACGAGCGTCTGGGCCCTCTTCATCTACGGCACGTCCATCCTGGTGCTCGAGTGGATGTACCTGAGGCTGCGCGGACGCTGCAACATCCTGCTGCGCTGCGTCGTCTACACGCTGTGGACCTACGCCTGGGAGTTCTTGACGGGCCTCGCGCTGCGCCAGGTCGACGCCTGCCCCTGGGACTACTCGCACTTCCGCTACAACTTCATGGGCCTCGTGACGCTGGAGTACGCGCTGCCCTGGTTCTGCGGCTGCTTCCTCGTCGAGACGATGGTTATCCGCAACACGCTGCGCCTCCGCTTCGACGAGCGCGGCGAGCGCAAGGCCAGGGCCGCCGCCGCCGCCGTCGTCGCCGCGAAGGCCGAGTGACCGCGGACGCGGCGGAGGCGGCGGAGGAGGAGGAGGCCGCGGGAAAGCGGGACCGGCGATCGGACGGTCACGACAAACGATCGATCGGTATGCTTCGAGCGAGCGGGCGAGTGGAGTTGGGGGAGGGAGAGGGGCTCACCGATCAACCGATCCACCGATCGATCGGTTGTGCGGTCGGTCGACTCGAGGGGCCGGTACCGGTCGCAGGGCGACATGAAAGGCGGGTGACGATCGCTGCGCTGATCGGTGGACCGACCGACCAAAGCCGGCCGTCCGTGATCCACCAGCCCTCTCGCGGATGACGGAGAGTCTCCCCGAAGATGGGGAGAGGTCTCCGGGGACGGCAAGGAACTTCCCCTCAGTTTCCGTCGCTTCTCCGGAACGCCACAAACCGCGTCGCCATTCCGGTCCGGCCGGCCGGCGCCACATTTCGGATTCGTGACGGCGGCACGAAGTCGGCCATCGGCACGGCGAGCGATCGCTAGGCCTGCCGCTTGTCGAGAGCCGGGTGGTCGTGATGACGCCGCTAATTTATTCACATCTGAGTTGCCGAACGTGGATTGAGTTGGAGGTTACGTTTCCAGTTTACCGGCGTTTAAATTCTTTAATGTATATGTCGTTCGAACTCTAATCCGCCGTTTATTTTTTTTGCGGTTTTTTTTCTCCATCAAAGTAGTTTGGAGGATCTTGTTTGTTCTTTTAAAGTCTTAGAGGCTCTTTGATTGTTTTTATTTAATCAAATTTGATTAATTTAAAGAAAAAAAAAATTCCATTTCATCATCGTCCTACTCCTCCTCGTCGCAGTTTCCGTTTTTGTGTCTCCCGGGGTTGTTCCGCCAATTTAAAGCTGCACGACTCTAGCGATCGTCCCCAATTTATTTATTACTTTCTCAACGCGCACATTTTTCTTCCTTGTGGTTCAACAATTCCCGACGAACGCTCCGTTTCATTCGGAACTCTTTTATTTTTTCGTGTTTAACGCAAATCCATTTGAGCTTAAGGTTTCTCCCGCACCTCTCGGTTCGAATTCGCCGACGCTCCCACGTGTCCACGAATTCCTGCTCAACTTGCATCATCATCATCATCATCGTCGTCATCGTCGTCGTCGTCGTCATTTTATTACGTTTTAAAGATACTTCAAACTGAACATGTCGTACTTTTTTTTTACTTTAAGAACAAGTAGAATAAAGAAGAAAACATACAAGAAAACTAACAAGAGCTTTAACAAAAACAACCACGCGTACATATATATTTACATGTACTAAGTACGATATTACAATACGACCAGCACTGCATGCAGAGGCCTTCATCCAGCAGCGGATTGACCAAGGTCTTGTATTTAACTGCGACACGGAAACCCGCGTGCTACACCACTAGAGAGCTACACCACGAAAGAGCGAGCGAAGATGCCGCCAGGAACAGTAGCAACGGGGGACTCCCAGGGGAGCCCCCCCCCCGGCCCCCCACCTCCCTCCTGCCCCCCCAACCTCCCCCTCACCACCCCGCCACCCCCTACTGCATCCTCACATCCCCCGACAGCAGCAGCTGCTGCTGGGTTTCTTTTATTTGTGCGCGCGGTTTCGGCGGCCGGGGTAAGCGAATTGGATTGCGACTTGTGTGCGGTTTGCGTGACCTCTCGTGGGTCAAATAAGAAATCCGCGGCAGTCGGTTCTGTCCGCTGCTGCCACCGCCGCCGCCCTCGCTGCTGCTGCTGCCGCGGATTTCTACCCGGGATCACCAGCTGACTGTGAATTGTCTTGATGTTCGGACCCCCCCGTTGGTGTTTAGTGTCTCAGCCGAGCCCGTGGCATGTTGGACTCGTTTTGTGGGTTATGTAATAATGTTGATTGGGTGGAGATGGCTAAAATCATCGTCATCATCATTGTAATCATCATCATCGTCGTTAGCCAGTGTCTATCCACTGCTGCATGAAGGCCTCCCCGTGCCGTTGCCCATCCCTCGCGACCCATCGTCTCACTCTGCGCACGTGAACGGATTTCGTGGCCGGCTGTCCGCTCGGACGCCTCTCCCCTCCTCCTTCGGCTGCCACTCCGTCACCAGTCTCGTCCCATCGGCCCTCACCCCGTCCGGCAATGCGTCCCGCCCAGGCCCATTTGTTTTTCTACTCGCGATCTTTAAAAGTAATCCCGATAACAATAACGGCAGTGTCTTATTCTTGGTTCTTTCGGTAAAGTCACGTAGAAGGGAAGTAATAACATAATAAAAATAAAACATAATAAATAATTCTCACGACGTTTCGGCCACAACGCAAGCAGCCGTCCTCAGGTGAAGACCAGGTCTGTCGGGGAGACAGCGTCTGAATGAAACACCACCACGCTTGGAAATACGCTCCAAGAAACGTCGTGAGAATTATTATGTTTTATTTTTATCATTTTATTACTTCCCTTCTACGTGACTTTACCGAAAGAACCAAGAAGATGAATCCCTGCAGTCACGAAAGCTTTAAATCGAAATTTAACGGCAGTGTCCTTTACGTTTCCCCGCGAAGCCTCGCCGAGTCTCGAGGCTAGTTTGCAGGAGGTTCCCGTTGGCTCGGGACGTTTGGCCACTTTCTATTTGCGGAGAGAGCCTGGCGCCGCGTGCGTGGAAACCGGAGAACCTGGAGAAAGGCCACAAAGCACGACGCAAGGGGCACCCTTCAATGCCCCGCACAGATTGAATCAACAATCCAATTACGTAATGCCATCTGCCTGGTCCGCTACGTCGCAGCCCCGAAGCCTGTAACACCTGGTATTCAGATCCGATTGCAAACGAGGCTGCCCAGCTTCCGACACGCGACGTGATTGTGGGGGTTTAGGAGTTAGGAGTTATTGTGGAATTATGAAACGCCGCGCTGCGGATAAAATATAAACGGGGGTATAAATAGCGAGCGAGGAGCAGGTGGTGCCCGGCTCTCGCAAATGTCGACTCGTGTTGGGAGCCGCCTGAGCTAACGTGACGCAAGCGTTGCAGACCTTCGCTTACACCGCCAATGACGATCGACGATGATTGACCCCGGTGATGACGGTGAAAGTGATCGCTTACCTTATCGTACATTTATTTAGCGACTTAACCAAGGCGCTGTTCAGTGAACTGTGGTACACGTTGACGATAATCGTGGTGATGGTGTGGTCATTATGATGATCGCAGAGATGGCAATGACAACGATGGTGGTAATGAGCTCACGACGGAGATGATGGTAAAGTCGACAGTGATAGTGACGATGAAGACGCAGCTCGCTGTGCCGTAGAGCGCGTGACCTCTATCTTCCCCGCCACCTCCTCCTCCACCACTCACTCGCCCGATCGATTCAGTGTCATCCCCCTCACCCCATTTGGCCTGATGGATGATGCGATGCCTCGAGTGTCACCCTCTCTCCGCTCGCCCGTTCAATCGCGGCGCCCGCCCACTCGCTTGCACGCTCCCAAGACTCCCTTGAGAAATCATCTCCCTTCGCCTCGTTTGGAGACGAGAGGAGGACATTGAAAATTGTAGCGATCAACCGATTCGGTGGATTCTGATACCGGCATGTGGTCCGTGAGTTAGGGGAACTGCGATGGTGAGACATTATCTCCCTCGCCTGCTACACAAGAGGTCATGGGTTCGATCCCGACCCTGACGCCTGCTGTATATTTCGAGTTTGCATGTCTCTCTTTCTCCCCGTGGTCGCGTGGATTTTTCTCCGGGTCCTCCGGTTTTTCCCTCTCCGTTTCTAAATGTGCATTTAGAGCATTTGGCTGCAATAAATGTCCACGTGACGATAAGCCACTTCGCTGAGCTATGATTTGTGGCCAGGTGGCTTCTGAAAAGGAGCTGTTATAGCTCAGTGGACCTCATCCGGTAAAATAAAAAAAAACTTTTTTTTTAAGTTTAGTTTATAGTTGTTTCGTGACAAGTACCTTTAATTAATGTACGAGGCAAAGACGGCGAGGAGGCGAAATTTATTCCGTCGATGACATTCTCCACGACGATACTCACTGGTCATTTTTGCGAGTCCCGACCCCCTCCTAGAAAAATCTGAAAGTGTTCAAAAACAAACCAAAAACAAATCTGGCTCTCGCCTGATGAAGCTGGTTGTAATTACTGGCGAAACGTCGTACTCGGATTGTAAATGTTGTGGCTTGGCTCTCCAACACACCGGTTAGTGCTGTACTAGTGACGAATTTGCCACGTTCTGTTTACGTGACAAACATTACTAGTTGGCCGTGTCGGGTGGTGGCGGGTTTAACGACACATTTATATATTTACGCGATCTAACCCAAACAAACCTCTATTATGGACAAAAACACATCAAAATCGATTTTGCGCAGATCTTACAGTCCTTTGTGACGTTAGTCCGCAAGCAATCTCTGCTACTGCACGTTTAACCCGTGGGGGTTTTCGCGGCCAATATCGACAAGGTTCGTTTTCGATTGTTTGGGGCCAGTGTTGTGTCGTACTCCCTCCTCCACCCGACGCAGCCAAACAAACAAACAAAAAGTTCCGGTACTTCCATTGTGTGTGGCAAATGTTGAACAAACAGACGGAAAGAGACCTCTAGGCATCACTCCCTACTACCTGCCCATCTGTGCGGGACGTTGATGATTTCACGCCGCCTACCGAAGGCCTGAGACTGGAAGAGGGCATTCTCACAATTCTGGCACCTCCGATTAGCGCGGTTGGCTACGCGCAGTGCGAAAAGAAGCTCAACGTACATGTACAATCACCGCATACTGTCCGTTGTAACTTCCAGCGAAACGCCGGACTCCCCGATTGTTAAAGGCGCGTGTGTCATGTTCTCCGACAACACAGCGGCGTGCCGACGCGATACGAAAACTACAACGGTGCGTTTGTTCACGTGAGCGCTTTTAAGTGGCTGCGTCGGGTGGAGGATGGCGTGCGACACAACACTGGGGGCTGTACTCACACGCGGTCGGTCATCTCGCCCCCAACAATCGATTGCGGTTGATAGCGTTACTGTTTTACAAGTGCGTGTGCTTTCACGGTTGTTGCCGCTGTGTGCGCGCGCGACTCTCCCGTGTGAATTCGGGTCGTGCCAATTATCTCCACGTGCTGGGAGCATCTCGCTAATTAACGCGGAGTTTTGTAACGGCGCAGTTTTACGTTCTCCACCACGGAGAAAATGAGAGAGAGAGAGGAGAGAATGAGAGAGAATAATTGAGAGGCACGGGGAAACCACAGACAGGCAGGGAGGTTTTAACCGGTTGGCCACAATTGGCCAAGCCCTGTGGGTCCTATGTGCGGATGTTTGGTCAACTTCATTGATGAAGTGGTTTATTCGTTCACGTGGGAGGAGAGAAAGAAAAGCCCACGCGTGTGAGAGCCGGTCGCCGCTTGAATCCCCCCCCCCAGTACAGATGTAACTGAACGGACAGCCACACCTAAGAGGTCCAGAAGCAAATTTTATGATTGGGTTGTTTTTCTTGTTGTGTGCAGTCATTGGTAACTGATAATTGGTGAAACTATCGAATCGCTACGCCCGAGAACACCGCCTTCAATCACTACAAATTGTGGCGGCTGAAATCTGGATTCGAAGCCAGGATATCTCGTCGTCTGGGACCTCTCGGTTCTGGCACGTGGAGCGTAAACGTCGGACAAAGTGTCCAGCAACCATGGACAGACATCGGAGAGAGCTGCAGTTACTGCCGTCATTAATATCAGTTACAAAATAAAACGAGCAATGTCTCCTTTATGTATAATTCGTCTCTCTACGTTAAAAAAATAACAATATATATAAAGTCTCACATCCCATCAGCTGCTGCCACGGCCTATTGGGAATGAATTTCAGCAGCAATGGTTCAAGACGAGCAAAACTTTTGCGACCGGTTTCGACACACAGTGTCTCATCAGCAGCAGAGCCAGGCTTTGCTTGAATCAATGCTGAACTGTCCAGATGTTTATCGGCAAGGGCTGGTTTCGACACACAGTGTCTCATCAGCAGCAGAGCCACGCTTTGCTTGAATCAATGCTGAACTGTCCAGATGTTTATCGGCAAGGGCTGGTTTCGACACACAGTGTCTCATCAGCAGCAGAGCCAGGCTTTGCTTGAATCAATGCTGAACTGTCCAGATGTTTATCGGCAAGGGCTGGTTTCGATACACAGTGTCTCATCAGCAGCAGAGCCAGGCTTTGCTTGAATCAATGCTGAACTGTCCAGATGTTTATCGGCAAGGGCTGGTTTCGACACACAGTGTCTCATCAGCAGCAGAGCCACGCTTTGCTTGAATCAATGCTGAACTGTCCAGATGTTTATCGGCAAGGGCTGGTTTCGACACACAGTGTCTCATCAGCAGCAGAGCCAGGCTTTGCTTGAATCGATGCTGAACTGGACCAGATGTTTATCGGCAAGGGCTGGTTTCGACATGCAGTGCCTCATCAGCAGTCGGGCTTTGCTTGAATCGATGTTGAACTGGACCAGATGTTTATCGGCAAGGGCTGGTTTCGACATGCAGTGCCTCATCAGCAGTCGGGCTTTGCTTGAATCAATGCTGAACTGCCGCATGATACAATACCAGGGGTTCTGGTTCAACGCGAAATGATGCAGTCATACGAAACGCACAGCTGCGTCAAGAAACATTTGGTTAACGTTGGGAGACGGATATGTGCGGCGTGTCGATTTTGTTACTTAAACGCTCATCGACAAGAACGTGCGTCATGATTATGTTTTGAGTTGAACATCACGTAGCTCTGTTCGTATCGGCAAAAGTATGTTTTGTTTCGTTTCATTTCATTTTGCCGCTCGAGGCAGTGACGTAGCTACGCAGTGCGCAGGCGGTGCAACTGCCCCCCCCCTCCTCCCCATGGCCGCCTTTGTCTCCCCCAGTGCTGCGGTATTTTAACGTCGAGTTCACCTAGAGGGGGGCCACGAGGATGATTTCCAGATCTCGCCACTGATGTTAGCCGTGGCCACGTCGCATTCCCTAGCAACAGAGGGCCCATAACGAGCACTCGACCAGCGCCACTGAGCAGTGCGAGAAGTTTAATATTTGTTAATTCGTTTACTTATTTATAATCGTTTCGTATTTTTTGTTGGGTGTGTCCTTTTTAAAAAAAATAGTAATGTTACCGTAATTGTTTTATTTAGTTTATTCACTGACAGATGTCAAAGATTGATGTCAGGTCGTTTTACAGATTATGCAATGCAAATGTGTTCAACATGTCTGTTTATTGCAATTTCGGGATACAAGGGTGATCGGTGTTGTTGATTGATTAACTATCGAGTGCTTGATTGAACGATTAAGCTACTGAATGGGTAGTAAAGCCAAGCGAATAAGGGACTCGACACGAAGGAAGCGTGCAATGAACTCCGCCTGGTGGCGGCGAGGCCAGAGTGAAGAATTACGCCAAGCAATGCAAAAACTAAATGTTTCAATGTAACGCAGAAGATGCGTGTTTTTTGTTTCCCTTTCTCTCGCGTGTGATAATTTATGAAGAATGTAAATTTAAAATTGGCAATTCTGATGTATGTCCATCTGGGTTCCGCGCGTGTGTGTGTGTTGTTCGGAACTGAGTAGAGTTGTACAATACTGTATATGTGCGCGTGTGCGTAAAAACACTGACAAAGGTGCCCTGTTGTAGCCTGCATAGACTGTTGAGGCAAGTGCTGTTGGCGAGCACCTATTAAGGCCGGTACGGTGCGGGAGGGGTATTGGTGTGGCCAGCACCACACCCGGCCGCCTTTGTCTCCCCACCAGGCGTTAGGAACTAATTTAAAGGCCGAGTCGACCTAGGCACATCACTCGCCACTGATGTTAGCCGTGGCTGGGATTTGGAAGACGGGGAGCTGGGTTCGTAACGTCGCGCGCTAACCACTACACCACCGCTCCCCATAGACACACGCACAACGCACATAACAAAGATCCCCCGTGTAGCCTTATCAGCCTGTAGGGGCAAGTGCTGTTAGCCAGCAACCTATGAAGACCGGCACGGCACACGAGGGGGTGGGTGGCCAGCACCACGCCCGGCCGCCTTTGTCTCCCCAGCGGCGATGTTTACACACCGCACCAGGTACTCATTTGAGGCTGAATCGACCTAGGGGAGGCCCAGGACCGCTTCAGATAATCGTCACTGGTGTTGGCCGTGAGCGGGAATCGAACTCGGGTTAACCACTACACTACCGCTCCCCAGGTCACACATAAATGACACCTATACACAATCACAGCAACATATACGCACACACAAACAGAAACGCACACAACAGCGGCGGTCATAACCACCGCAGCAGCGCTTGTGCCAGGCTCGGTGCACTTTGAAACGACCACGTGAAGCGTGGAAGGTCCCGGTGCAGACACACCCAGGTGTCACGGGTTAACTCACTGAAATGACCGGCAGATGCACCGCCGAGAATGAGATCTCGACGTTCCGGCCGAGCAGCCTTCGTCAGGTCGTATTTCCCGAACAGAAGGTGTAGGCGCAGCCCTGCAAGTATCTTCTCTCGCCTCGCAGCTGGCGGAAGGGCGTCAACGAGAAGGCAGCTAATTCTAGATTTGAAGCTTTCGTGACTGCAAAGATTCATATTCTCAGGTTTTTTCGGTAAAGTCACCTAGGTAAAAAATAAAAATTAATAAAAGTTAAATAAAATAAAAATAAAATAAAAATCACGACGTTTCGGAGGCAACACAAGCTTCCGTCTTCAGGTGGAACCGTCACAGTTCCACCTGAAGACGGAAGCTTGTCTTGCCTCCGAAACGTCGTGATTTTTATTTTATTTTTATTTTATTTTTATAAATTTTAATTTTTTACGTGACTTTACCGAAAAAACCTAAGAATACGAGAAGGCAGCTGTCAGAGAGAGCTGCTGTATTAGGGGGGGGGTGGGGTAAGACATTGTATTTTTGGGCCAATTTTGCACGCTGGCCAGCAGTAGGTCTCAGGAGTAGACCCACCACCACACTTTAACCACCACCACCGCCGCCGCAGCCCTAGCGAACGTGTCGTGGTGTTTGTTCCCTCGTTGTGATCTCCACGCACGCGTCTTGTCACTGCCACCACAGGTTCATCATCCCCCCCTACCCCCACTCCTGCGAGTATTGGCACGCGAGAATTGTGGTATTTGCACGTGGATCATGGTGGATGATTGGTGGTTGTTGTTGTACTTGTTTATTACCGAGTATAATCACCCACAAATGTCTGTCCGTCCCGCGCGTGACGTCACTCCGCATGAGGCCCACCCCCCCCCCGCGTGACGTCACTCCACATGAGGCCCACCCCCCCGCGTGACGTCACTCCACATGAGGCCAACTCCCCCGTGTGACGTCACTCCACATGAGGCCCCCCGCGTGACGTCACTCCACATAAGGCCCGCCCCCCCGCGTGACGTCACTCCAAAATGAGCCCCCCCCCGTGTGACGTCACTCCAAAATGAGGCCCACCCCCCCCTCATTAATATTCATGAGTCGGGTGGATTTGTACACTAACGCAGAGGAAGGTCGAGACGAATTAAATAATTTATTACGCAAAGTCGCTTCAAATATGACGTTTCTTTACAGAAATTGACGGTAAACAAGTATAACCCGTGAAAACAAAGTTTTTCACTATAAATCCTTTATATGCGTGGCGGCTAGAGTCCTCTCGTCCTCTGGCTTGAGATGGCTGCCACCTATGGGTCAGATGATTGCATGGCACCATTAAGCAATTGGTAATTAAATATATTATTGTTGTCCTAAAAAGTGTAAAATTTTGGAAAAAAATTGTCACGAACATTAATTGTCACGCACAACGAGTCTGTGTGGAAAATGTCAGCTCAATTGGATCACGGGAAGTGGGTTAAAAAACGACCGAAATATTTGCACGGTCGTAAGCAAGCAAGCAAGTGAACTTAATATAAAGGATTTAAAAATAAATATACGCAGCACAGTGCGACATCCGTGCGTGACGTCACTGCAAAAGAGCCCCCCCCCCCCCCTTCATTAATATTCATGCCCGCGTGGAAATTGAGATGAACGCACTCCACATGCCGCACCCCTCCCCAATAACCATGAGGGGGTGACGTCACTCCACATGCCGCACCCCTCCCCAATAACCATTAGCGGGTGACGTCACTCCACATGCCGCACCCCTCCCCAATAACCGTTAGCGGGTGACGTCACTCCACATGCCGCACCCCTCCCCAATAACCATGAGGGGGTGACGTCACTCCACATGCCGCACCCCTCCCCAATAACCATTAGCGGGTGACGTCACTCCACATGCCGCACCCCTCCCCAATAACCGTTAGCGGGTGACGTCACTCCACATGCCGCACCCCTCCCCAATAACCATGAGGGGGTGACGTCACTCCACATGCCGCACCCCTCCCCAATAACCATTAGCGGGTGACGTCACTCCACATGGGGCAATCCCCTCCCCCCTCATTAATAATCATGAGCTGAACAATTTTTCTATTGAATATTTCAGATTTACTGCAATATACACCAGCCCTTGATGGGGCAATGAAGCTCATAAGCAATATTACCCTAACCTCACCATGCACTCACTCACATCACTCACCTCGCAATGTAATCACTCGCCCTCGCGTGAATTCACCATCACTCACCCCACCACCACCTCACTCCACCATCGCCATCACTTCACCCGACCACACCAACCCATCTCACTCCACCATCATCATCATCACTGCACCGTCACTCACCCCACCACCACCTCACTCCACCATCATCATTATCACCGCACCGTCACGCGTCTTGCCTGCTCCCTCCCTCCCCCCGACTTCGTCCTGCCTGTGTGTCTCGTCTTACGTCCGGTGTCATGATCAATACAGTCTATAGACAGTCTATAGACAGTCTATAGATAGTCGATATATTTTGTATTCCGCCAGCCACGTGAGTGCCAGCGAGAGTCGCGACGTTTCGCGGCCTGGGGGTTGCCACCCGTCCCGGATTTGTCACGGACATTCGTGATGAGGATGCGGGGGAGGGGGGTTAAGGATTCGATTTGAGGGTTGTTAAAATCGGGAGTTAAAATATAAAAACGTGTCAGTGTTACCGTCAGCCGAATGTCTAACAAAAAAATAAATCGGTTCATTCATAAAAAAAGAATATGAAACGGTAACCGGTTTATAATTTTCTGTAATCGGTTCTGAAAACGGTTAGAGTTTTTTATCGTTTTGTTTTTTGTTGCTAGACAATACACCGGTTACCGAGATGTTGTACCGAGATCTGGTCGTGGCATCTGATTTGTATCATCTGGTCGTGGTATCTGATTAGTACCGATATCTCGAAGTGGTATCTGAGTTGTACCCAGATGTATCGAGAGCTGGCAGCGGTATCGTGTTGACCTTTATCGCAGTCACATCTGACTGAGAACTTCTGGCCGGTTCGGGTCAAACCGTGGTAAAGGTGGCAGCCCTAAAAGCCCCCACATGTGTTCAGAGTTCTGTCTGTGAAGGCACTATCCACGTGGGAACATTGAAATACATAAATCTTGTTTGACAACAAAAACAAGCAAAACCTGACTTGGGAAATGTATTTTTTGGGATTCCTGACCTAACTCCGAGGCCCTTGTTTGTGTCACGTTGCGAAAGTGGAGGTCACAGGTTCAGCCGGTCCTGTTTACCAATCCACCTTGAACCTCCTAGCCACACCAGCCACACCACCAATGTTGCTGCACGCACTGTCACCAACACCACCACTATCATCAGCACCACCACCGTCACCAGCACCACCACTGTCACCAGCACCACCACTGTCACTAGCACCACCACCGTCACCAGCACCACCACTGTCACCAGCACCACCACTGGCATGCTCAACATTGCCTACTTGCCGTCACTACCACCACCCACCCAACTTGCCAGCATCAGCACCACCACCACCACAATCACTATCGACTCACCACCACTCGCTCAACACAACCACTGTAATCTCTACTCACCACCACACACTGAACACAACCACTGCCACCTCACCACCACCCACTCACTACCATGAACACTTACCAACCACCCACTCAATATCATCACCACTACCACCCACTCAATATCATCACCACCACTATTGAGTCACCGTCACCACGTCGCCATCGCTCACCATCCTCACCGACCAGACACCCAACACCCCAACACTACCACCACTCCCCACTTCCACCACCCACCATCCACTCAACGCCCACTCACCTTTAACCCAGTAAACATGTGAGAATGCTCAGTGAGACGATGTGCGTGGCGCGTGCGGCACAATGGGTGGATTTGTTAAGATGGAAACTTGAGCCAAGGTCTGGAGGCGGAATACTGTACTGGTTGTCCAAAAAGAGTGTAAAATAAAGACATACATGCATCACATGTTCTCTCCACATATATGAACGCAATGAGAATTCAATACTCCTTCACCACGCCCTAAAAGCGATGGTTTGCAAAAAAAAAATCTATATTTAAAAATGAATAAAAACATTAAAGACGTGGATATTTGTTGTCGTGGTCTTGTGTGACTTAATATTGACTGTGGTCGTAAAAAATTAACCCGTAAAAACAAAGTTTTTCACTATAAATCCTTTATATGCGTGGCATCGGTTTTATTTTATTATTCATTTCTGTTTTTCTTGAGTAAGAGTTTCATTTTTATCACATTGGTATTTTAAATTAAATCAGATTTTTTTTTTTACTAAAAAGTGGAAAATTTTGGGAAAAAAATTTCACAAAAATAAATTGTCACGCACAACGAGTCTGTGTACAAAATGTCAGCTCGATTGGATCACGGGAAGTGGGTTAAAAACGACCGAAAGATTTGCACGGTCGTAAGCGAGCAAGCAAGTGAACTTAATATAAAGGATTTAAAAAGTAAAAGCGCAGCCGTGTAACTGCTGGCAAGCGTCACTGCTGGTGGATGGGCCCTCCACTTCGAGGCAGCTCTCGAGTGGGATTTGGCCTACTCTTCCACGCTGGTCAGTCATCCTGGAAAAAGTTGGGGTACACACACTTTACCCCACCGCACGCGGCCTGCCGATCATAGGTGGTGGTGGGGGGCCGTCCATAAATGACGTCACGCACCTAGGGGTGGGGGGGGGCGGGTCAGACATTTGTGACGATGTGTGAGAAATGTGACGTCACATCAAAATGCGCAACTTTAAATAAATATAGTCAACACGTTCTACTTCATTAAATAGACTTTTTTAATAAATGTTTTCTCCTACAACATCAGAGTGCAGCGCCACATTAAATACGCACTACGATGACAATAGTTTAAAGCGATTTGAAGCATGTGTTATTTTCAAAATTGAAATATGGTTTTGGGGGGGGGGGGAGCTTTGTGAAGTCATATTTGAGGGGGGGTCTTGACTTTTTGTGACGACGTGTGACGAGGGGGGGGGGGGGGTCAAAAATCGTCCAAAATCGCGTGACGTCATTTATGGACGGCCCCAACATCTATCCCGCCACATACTGTAGCAACAAAAACGTTTTTTTTTGTCCATCCCATCAGCCCACACCGCCTTCTGGGAGGGCGTCATTGTTGCAGTGCCTCGTTCCTGAAGCCCCCACCTCCTTTTAAAGGCCCCAGGTCCTTTTAAAGGCCCCACCTCCTCATTAAAGGCCCACCTCCTTTCAAAGGC